CCGAGCGCGACGCTGGGCCCGCGGATCCAGATCTCGCCCGTCTGGCCGTTGGCCACCTCGGTGAGCGTGTCGGGGTCGACGATGCGCATCTCGATGGTGGGTGGTGGGCGGCCGGCGCTGGTGGGGCGCGCGAGGTAGTCGTCGCTGGCGAGGCCGGACGCGGCGCCGTTGACCTCGGTGCTGCCGTAGCCCTGGCTGACAAACATGCCGGGCAGCTTGGCGCGCGACTCCTCGGGCAGCTCCTTGGCGCTCGACGAGCCGCCGTGCGAGACGGCCTGCAGCGACGGCAGGTGGTGCTTGCTCAGCACGATCTCGCGCACCATGAACCCGATGCCGATGACCACCTGCACGCTGTGCTGCTGGATGAGCGCCGCGACGCGGTCGACGTCGTACTTGGGCATGAGCACGACTTTGACGCCGCGTGCGACGCTGGGGCACAGCCCGGACTGGATGCCTGTCGAGTGGAACAGCGGGATGCACAGCAGCGTCGACATCTGCTCGTCGTCCGGCTGGGGCACGGGCGGGGTGAGGCCGCGACGCACGTAGGCGCGCACCGTGGTGAACCCGGAGTTGGGCCCGGCGGAGAGGAACTGGCGCTGCGTGGCCGCGACGCCCTTGGGCTTGCCCGTGGTGCCCGAGGTGTAGAGCACCGAGGCCATGTCTTCGGGGAGGATGGCGATCTTGGGGATCGCATCCGCCGCCTTGGCTGCGGCGGCGTACTTGCGGTCGAGCTCCGTTGCGTCAAACACTTTTTCTCCTGCCTTACCCGCTGCCCACTCGCGCTCGCTCTCGGCGACGATCCCACCGATCGCACGCGGAAACACAGCAACGCCACTCAACCCGCCATGCGCACCGGGCGTGCATCCAAAGTCATCCACACACTCCGGCCCCGCCTGCGTGAACAGCTTCTGCACATAGTCCACCTCAGCCCCGCGCAGTCGCCGATACCTTTCCACATCGAACAGCGCCGCCTTGCACCCGACATCGCGAATACACTCGTAAATCGCCTTGCCAGGCAAAAATGCGTTGACGAGCGCAGGTACGCCGCCGAGCAGATGCACGGCAAAGAAGGCGATGACGAACTCGACGTGGTTGCGCGCGACGATGGCGACGCGGTCGCCCTTGCGCACGCCGAAGTGGCGCGCGAGCCACGTCGCCGCGAGGAGTGCGCGCGCGTGCACGTCGGCGTACGTGTGCGCCTCGCCCTCGGCGGCGACAAACGTGCGCGACGCATAGGTCGTGGCGGCAAAGAGCCACAGATCGCGCACCGACGCCGGGAGCTGCTTCCACACGGTCGTGAGCTGCCCGTGGATGAAGCGCACTTCCGTCTCGAGCAGCGTGCCCTTGGCGGTGAGCATCGCATCGACCTTGTCGAAAGGGATGAGCTTGCCCTGCGCAACGTCGGCCTTGAAGTCTTCCGGCATCGAGCGCTTGGCAGTGGCCGCTGCCGGAGCGGAAGAGCCCGTATTTGAGCTCATTGTTGGAGAGTAAAGTTAGGCTCGAGGGTGGCGGTTGACAGGTGGAATGTGTAGCGTGCAGCGCCACGACCAATGCGACTTTGGAGTAAAGGTGAACCGGCGGCGAGCGAGAGCGAAGCAACGAGGGTGATACGACTGGACGCGGTGATGGAAGGTGATGGGAGTGGTTCAAAACTAAGCACGCAGGCTATGGCAAGGTAAGAGAACGGCTTTTGAAGAGCACAGGGCGCGCACGACGAGCAAGCGAGCGGCAAGTTGGCATTGCGAACGGACGGAGCAGATGTTGCCGGCACACGGGTCGATGGAGAGAGCGGTGCAGGTGACCTCGCAAAGGGGTGCGAGAGAGTGCAGAGATCTCCAAGCGCGGCGCTCCATTGCCGCGGGAAGCAGGCAGCTGTGCCGAGTGCATCGCAGATTGCATCGCAGATTGCATCGCAGATTGCATCGCAGATTGCAGTTCAGTGTGCTGTACGACCTGGTTCCGTTGGAGGCGGCGGAGAAGGGGTGATGGATGCCGCTCGCGCTGTCTGACTTTGCAGTGGGAAAGTGCCGTTCTCTCTGCTCAGGTACAGCCGAAACACAGAGAGTGAGGGGGAAAGAGAGCGGAATTCCAGCACCTCGGAAAATGCGGGGGAATCAGAAGAGAACAAAGTCACATGCACGTCGAAAAAGCGTTGGCAGAGCAAGCAAAAAGGAACAAAAGCCCGGCAGCGAAGCAAAGAAATGCGGGGTGGATGCTGTAAATCGCAAAAACAAAATCACAACAATTTCGCCGGTGTCCGGCAAACCCAAGTGACCGAGTCGCTTCGCATCCCACTCCGCCAAACACACCTGTTAGGTCTTCGCTGTCCAGCATTCTAGCATCGACGTCGAAGAAAGCCAGTCAGCTCCACGAGGCTGTCGCTTTCGAACCTCGCGAGCGGTCAGAAAAGACATCCCGAGCACGAAAGCATCGATCTGGGGGCGAGGTCGAGCTCGAGAAACATTCGCTCGACTGCACACACAAAGATAGCAAGGCTGAATGCATTAGACGAGACAAGCAGAAACAAGATCCCATGGCTGGCAAAAGAGTGTGGATGGTGCGCCGAAAGCACACAAAACGAGAGAGTCGAGCTTCGAGCAATGTTCGAGAGCAGGGGCATTTCTGCCAGCTCGAATAGCGGTCAAGAACGTCGCCATTTGCTGCTCAGCGCCATCACAGCGCAATGACCTCGCTATCGCTGACCAGAGGACCATCACCGCACAGACCCACCTGGTTGCCGTTGCCGTCCTTGATGCACAGGTGCTGCTTGTCGCCCAGCAGGCCAGGCACGTCGATCTGCGGCAGCTGCGCCGAGTTGAGCAGCGGCACCAGGTTGGTCGGCACCGCCAGCGCCGGCACTTGGAGCACCGACGTCACCCCACCAATCACCGCGCTCGGCTGCGGAATTGCACTGACGAGGATCGAGAGCGGGTTGATCACCCCGGTCGTTGCGAATGTCGGGATGGTGGGCGTGAAGGTCTTGGTGCACTCCTTGCCGCCCTCGGTGGTGATGTAGGTGACAGGAGTGGGGATCTGGGTAGCTGCGACCGAGAGCGCGGAGCTCAGCTGGCTCTGGATGTCCGCGAGGTTTTTCAGAAGCATCGAGGGGACGGCGTTGAGCGCTCCTTGTGCGAGTTGCGCCAGCGCCTCCAGCTCCGGGGGTGGCGTCGGGGTGGGCACGGAGACGCCGAGCGACATGGTGACGTCGGGAAGCAGATTTGCCACCTCGGCCGGCAGAGTCGGTGATGGGATCGTGGTGGGGATCAGGCTGGTGACACCGTCGACGACCGAGGTGATTATGCTCTGGATCTCGCCGACGACCGGTGGAAGCGTGGGCGTGGGCAGAAGCTCGCCCAGGTTGAGCGAGGGGAGCGTGGGTGATGCTTCGAGGGACAGCGCCATCATACTATCAGCACAGAAGCAATCAGGTCAGTCTAACCACTTTTCTCGTATTCGTGTGGGACGACGGTTCGCATGCTTACAGTCGCTTCTCCAGAGGCGCCGCTGAGGTCGACGAAAACGCCAACGCCGCCACCAGTGCTGTCGCTGAGCTTGCGATCAAAGTGGTCTTCATGGTTGTATCCGCGCAGATGTGCTGATGTGGGGTGAGAGAGGCAGGTGTTGATGAAGCGAACTGCTGTGATAGGCTCGTTTCGAGGCTAGCAGTGTAGGTGGTCAGGGGAAGGTTGTAGGAGGTGGATGAGCAGATAGGTGTAAGAGAAGTTTGGAGAGTGAGGTGGACCTTCAAAACAAGTCGTTCCGGGCACAACGGTCTCCGACTCTTTTATTCATTCTCCTTGTCTCCTTTCTCGTTGCTGTAAGATGATGTTCCACGTTGGGAAAGTGCCTTGGACTTGGCGCAGGAGATGTTTGGACAGACGCCCATTCTAGCATCAAGCATGTCAGCCACAAAGCCATCACAAACAAGCATACGCCGATGAGGGTGGGCTTGTTTGTCTGAGGTGCTTCGACCATGTTGATGCACAGCACCTCGCAGATCTCCATCAGCTCGTCGTACTGCTGCCAATCAAGGTCGGCGTGGCCGTTCCGTCCAGAACTCTTGTAGATGCTATCATGATTCGCCGCAGCCTACTCGGATCGCCATCGACTCCATCTTTCGCGGCAGCAAGGAACCATCTTTGGGCAGGCTCGCTTACAAGTCGCTGTCCATCTCGTGAGGTTGCTCATCGAACAGCGACGCCTCGCTTGCATTTGAACAAGTCGCACAACACGCACAACACGCCCTCGTGTCTCTTTCTCTAGCGCAAAGGCGGAGTGCGGGGTCGAATGAGCGCTCAGTTGTCACTGCGTTCGAAGCATTTACAGCGACCTGCGAGCCCCTCTAACAGCGGCTGCAGGTGATGATGGTCGCCAAAGCATGACGCTCGGCACATGTCACTTTCAAAGGCGCACAAAGTGACATTCCTCGAAATTTCCGGCGCCTTTTTTTTGCTTCTGCAAGCAAGCGCGTTCGCGTTTCTTTATTTATTCGATCGAGGGTCGAAGGTCGGGTTTCGCTCGAGAAGGTACACTTTGCCTTTGGAGATCCTCGCTTTCTTCAGTCCTTGCCATGTATCGTGGCAGCGACGATAATGTCTCCGGGTGGGCAGGCGTTCGGGAAAAAAAAAAA